CCCTCAGCCAGGGTCAACCCACCACAATCCTGGCAGCTGAATCCCCTGGAGCTAGTGTAAGGGAGCCTATTGGTGAGAATAGTAAAAAAAAATGAGCAGCACATGAGACTATGGACACTATTTCTGGTGCATGTGTGTCTTCCATGAAACAGGCTAAAGTTGGCTGCACAGAGCAAGGCCTAGTATTGCCTTTGCATGCACAGTGCCGAATGAGATGTCATCAATGTGCAGGTAAAAGAAATTAACTCTGCTGGGAGAAAGTCCCCAGTAGAGGGACTTGTTCAGAGCTGGATGCAGTAGTCCAGGTGGGGTCTCATGAGAGACAGGCTGAGAGAGGTGGGGTTGTTCAGCCTGGAGAAGCGAAGGCTCTGGGGAGAGCTTACAGCAGCCTTCCAGTACCTGGAGGAGAACTAAAGGAAAGCTGGAGAGGGACAGGTTACAAGGGCATGGAGTGATAGGACGAGGGGTAATGGCTTTAAGCTGAAGGGGGGTAGATTTAGAGTGGCTATTAGGAAGAAATTCTTTACTGTGAGGGCAGTGAGGCACTGGAACAGGTTGCCCAGAGAAGCTGTGGATGCCCCATCCCTGGAAGTGTTTAAGACCAGGTTGGATGGGGCTTTGGGCAACGTGGTCTAGTGGAGGGTGTCCCTGCCCATGGCAGGGGGGTTGGAACTAGATGGTCTTTGAGGTCCCTTGGGTTCCAACCCAAACCATTCTGTGATTCTGTCATTCTGTGAAAAGGCTGCTAAGGCCTTTTATCCCTGATTAAAATGACCAAGGAATCACCTTCAGTTGAGGAAAACATTAGCAGTGTCTTTGAGATATAGCACCTTTATTCACATGTGGATGATGTCCTTACCTCTCACTATTCCATATATTTCAGGCTTCAAGCCATGGTAACTGGGGGTCCTGGGGACCTTGGGGACAGTGCTCTCGTACCTGTGGTGGTGGAGTTCAGTTTGCTTATCGTCACTGCAATAACCCAGCTCCTAGAAACAACGGCCGGTACTGCACCGGCAAGAGGGCCATCTACCGCTCCTGCAACGTCACACCCTGCCCAGCAAATGGTAAGTACCTTCATGCTGCAGCCTCTGTGTTCATAGATAGCAAATATTGAACATCTACTGTGAAAGGAAACAACAAAGGTCCATTGTGGTTCCTCCAAAATGTATTTACCAAGGCAAGACATTCATCATTATTAATACAATAGCGTAATTCTTCCCCTACCCTGACCACATACAGAAAGGACACTTGAATGAAAAGAAATTTCAGTCCTGGAAGATGAACCACAATGCAAAATTTAGTGCTTTAATGCTTTTTATGTCATGGGAAGATTTCCAAGCTAAAACAGTTGAAGGATTTGAAGGCCAGTTCTAAGTAAAGATGTGAAGTGGTGTTATCTTTAAAATTCTGTTAGAAAGAAATTGGAATAATAGATGGGCATAGTGATATTTGCAGCATGGTAGCATGGTCTGAAATAGTCACTAATAATGTGAATAATTCTACAGCTAAATCTTTTCGACAAGAGCAGTGTGAAGCAAGAAATGGCTATCAGTCTGATGCAAAGGGTGTCAAGACATTTGTTGAATGGGTACCCAAGTATGCTGGAGTACTTCCCGGAGACGTTTGCAAGCTCACCTGCCGAGCCAAAGGAACAGGCTATTACGTGGTATTTTCTCAGAAGGTAACGGCATCTCCAATCATGATTTCATGCTCCAGTTTAGAAATGTCCTGTATCTTAGAAATCTTTCACTACAGCAAGGGAAAAGAAGTTAATCGTACGATTAAAAGATTTAACTGTGTAATTCAATTTAGTGGTTTGATCTACTGGTTATACATTAGGACCAGAATTGGCTTCTAAAATGAGATAAGTTTTTCCAGATCTCAGTATGTGGCTTCATGACAAGTATGGGGCTCTTAGTACGCTCTGTACTAGTTTCTTTTCGGTAGTGGATAAAGGGCTTTCTTCCTGGAGAGTCATCTGTCATTCTGGGGTCTTCTGGAGGAGAAAGAGTACTGTGAGTAAAAGAATGTGTTTTAGCCTGAATTATATTAAGGGGGTCCAGAGTAACTCTTATGGAGCCAATTAATATAGAATAATTAGCCAATTAGTATAGATGTGACTTGCAGTCAGTTCGTTAGATCAGATGCAATTCGAACGGAAATGTCTCCCATGCTTACACTTGCCGTTTTCTGCCTCTAAATGTTATGAAGGTAACAATTAGATGTAGATAGTTCAAATGCAAGGTTATCTACAAGTACCGTTATTGTTACTAATAATAAGCTGTGAGATCTTCCTTAAAGCCAGGGTCATTCTAGTGTCTTACGGTGGAGTTATCTGTTATTGCTTTCAGCCCTTTGCTGAACTTCATCTGCTTTTGTGCTGGGAACATCAGAGAAATTCAGTCTGGGCTGTCAGAGTAGGCACTCTGTTCTGTGTGGGTGACATAAATAAGTAGCTGGGTTTTGCCAGTCAGATTCACAAAAGCAAATCTTTTCCATGGTAGTTTTAAATAACAGTCATTTGATTGCTTAGGTAACTGATGGTACTGAATGTCGACCGTACAGTAATTCTGTCTGCGTCCGGGGAAAATGCATACGAACTGGTTGTGATGGGATCATTGGTTCAAAGCTCCAGTATGACAAATGCGGGGTGTGTGGAGGAGACAATTCCAGCTGCACAAAAGTCATGGGAACCTTTACCAAAAAGAGGTATTGATCTTCAGTATTAGTAAATTTATCTTGTTCTGCAAATAGTAACTCTGCCATCTGCTTGCTTGCTTTCTGTCTCTAAACACAATTTAATTTCATATGAAGATTGAGATAAAAAGTACATTGCCTGCCCTTTATGGCACTTTCCAGATGGTTTCAGCTGGCCTCTTAACAATGCCCCGAAACTGGCAAATAGCAAACTGGCAAAACACTGTACCCAGTCCCTTTCTGATACAAAGTGCCGGTGATACAGGTGAGCACCCAGTAATAGGAAGTTTGCCAAGAATAAGGCGTAGCATCTTGCTCTGCTACTCTTGCTGGTCAGATGGCTTGTGGTTTCTAGAGGAGAGAGGAGTGAATCAGAAAGTTGTTAGGGTCACAATAATCTGGGTGTATCCGAAACTCTGTGTTTCCCAGATGATGCTGGGTTAGCAAATAGATGCTGAGAACGTGTTTCATCTCAGCTGACTTTGAATGACAATGAGGACATCCCACCTGATATAGTGACACGGATTCCTTGTGTAGTTAGTGGAGAGAAGCAGACAGCATTAGAGCACATCTGTAAAAGTCTTCCTTAATAGCTGAGGGGGATTATACCCTAAAAATACCTTTTCACACTGCTGACTATACATGGAGCTTAGATGACTAGATGAGATGTCAGAAGTAAACATGGGCTTAAACATGGCATTTGCTATATACCTTCATGTCCATTGGCATAATATCGATCTCCAGATGGATTTTTTTTAAAAGCAGTTATCCATAAGACATTTTTCTATCAGAGTTCAGCTTTTAGCTGTAACAAAACTTAATACAAGTAAAATAAAAGGAACTGCCCCCATGGTTTTCCCTGACCATGTTGAGGGCAGCAGTAAGCTTTGCACTGAGATACCAGTATGAAGTAAGTCTGCCTTCTCTCTGAACTCTCATGTCCCTCCCTCTTCAATTCTTAAGATTCATAAAAAAATCAGGATTTTTAATTATCATTTATATAGATTCCAACGTCTTAAAGGACTGCTGTAGTGATCTACTCTTAGAAACTTTCAGTTTACAGTTTCTACTCAGCGTCTGCAACTGCATTAGTGTACCATCTTTTAAAATGCACGTAAACTTGATTTTGTTTTATATCTTCCAAATTCTTACATAGCATATTGAAAGCTACCAGAAGTTGAAATCTGACTCTTGAAATGACCTTTTATTTCTATACATTTTCAATATACTGATTAATAGCAGTCAAAAATTACTTTAAGAGTGAATTTAACCTAAAAATAAACATAACTAATCTTCTTCCTGGTAAACCAATGATTATTTACCTAAAGATGCCAAAACACCTCTGCCAAAAAGAATGACTTTCCATCCAAATTAATAATTATAGAAACCAAATCTTTTCCAATTTGTAAATATTGAAATGTCTGGGATGTCTAAATGAAGAAGACAGCGTGAGATATACTTCATATGATTCAGTGATGATCCTTGTGCTGGAATCCAGGCTCCAGCAAAAATGTTAATGGGACTCCATGAATTTCAGTGAGGCCAGATTTGTAGCATAGATACACTTGAAAATGGAGAGATTCTATTATAATTATTCCTATGAAGTTACCATCTTACTCCTCAAATCATGCCTTTAACTGAAATGAGACTGGTCAGAGAGTAAAATATTAATTCAACCTCCATGCATTCAAAAAGTTGCGCCATTTAGAAAGAAATAGTCAACTTGTAAGTAACAAGTATGTTCCAACTTGATTTTGATTGAATTTTGGAGTGACAAGGATTTTTTTACTGGAAATACTGTTTGAGACAATTCCCTTATGTGAGTAATTGACTTTAAACCTCTCATTAAAATAGTGAAATCTTAATTGTCTGGTTTTACATGTAAAAGGGCAGTGGCTGTAGGAAAATTATCTTTTCTCCACTGAAAAATAGCAGCTCCTGCATTGCTGTCCATTATAAACCAAACTGTACATTAAACATACAGGGAAACTATTAAATGTACAAGGAGAAACTAGTATTTCCCTTTGCAGACAATTGCCATAACAGCATTTGTTTGTACTTTTTTCTTTTAAAGTAGTCAAAACATAATCTTCTGAAAAACATGGTTCCTAAGAACTTTTTAAAAGCCAAGTTGTCAGAAGTTAGGAAAGAGGAGAATTAAGGCTGCACGTGATTTCTTTGCGCACGTGGAGTGTTATAGTTCTTTGTGCAAACAACTTGAATTCTGCAGCATTGCTTTTAGTTTTTGAACAACTGATTTTGTAACTTTAATAACATGTTTTAACAGAGTTATTTTGGCAACTGTTATGTAAAAATATTTGTGCAGTGCTGTAGAGCAGAGTCTCCCCCAACCTGTTTTTCGCACCATATTCCTTCAGCTTTACGGAGGTGCTAAATCAATAGAGTTTTAGTCGTTGTCTCATAACTGCTGGAAATAGCAGTGGAATAGTACAAGCGTTTAATCTGTAGTCTGTGCAGTCTCTGCTTGTGCAGCCAAAAATTCTTGAAATTAGCAGTCTGCTCTTTAAACAATCCCAAAAGAGACCCCTTTGCTTTTATATATTTTTAATATATTTTTTCATTCCTTTTTTTCTGGAAGTTTCAGCACTAAATTTTTCAGATGTGAGGTACTTGCATAATGGTTTTGTCACAGGTTTAGAAATCAAAATACATGTCTCCAAAGTCCAGCTGGTAGCTTATAGCTATATGTAGTCTTCAGATTTTTTTCTATGTATCAGTAAAGTTAAAATAAATAACAAGCTTGAGATAGCGATAAGTTCCAGCACACTTGCAGGTTTTGAACACTTGGCACTTTTGGTAGAAGAGTTAAATATCTTTTTCTAAATCTGAATTAAGATACTTTGTAAGCAGCAACAGACAGAACTCTGTGATGGTACAAATTAAACATTTGGGCACACCTCATATTAGACACTTGACGATTAATCTTCCGCTTTATGAATTTCAAAGTAAACAAATTTTTTCTCAGTGATCAAGAGTATTTTTAAATGTTCCCAAGGTACCTCTACCCAGCTGTTACTCTGCTCATGCTTTCCTTAATCATCATTATAGCAAAGACAGCAAGAAACAGCTGTAACCAATGCATATCTCATTATCTTTCCTTGGCAGGCAAAGCGTGCATTGTATTTCATATCTCCCACCCTTTGCTGAAATATATAAGCTATCTATTATTGTTCATTCCTCTTGTATCTGACTCATGTAAAATCGTTACTAAAGCTAAAGATTAAGCAATTTGAAATAAGTGCAGTAGAAATTTCTTCAAGCATATAAAGAACAATACAATAGACAAACAGTGGAACCTGCTTAAATTAATCTTAGATGAGCCTCAAGCCAGATGGATTCAGGGCCTGAACTAAAATGAAGCAAGATGTGTCATGCCAGTGACTTCATTAGGCACTGTTGCAGTAAGACTTGAGGCTTATTTCGGGCTAGCTACTGAATGCTCTTTTTTTTTTTTCCCTTCATTCAGCAAGGGCTACACCGACGTAGTGAAAATCCCAGAAGGGGCGACTCACATCAAAGTTCGGCAGTTCAAGACTAAGGACCAGAGCAGGTTCACTGCCTACCTAGCCCTGAAAAAGAAAAATGGTGAGTACCTTGTCAATGGAAAATATATGATCTCCACTTCAGAAACAATCATTGACATCAATGGGACTGTCATGAACTACAGCGGCTGGAGTCACAAAGATGATTTCTTGCACGCAATGGGACACTCTGCCACAAAAGAGGTTCTTATTGTACAGATACTTGCGACTGATCCAACTCAACCAGTGGACGTCCGCTATAGTTTCTTCGTGCCAAAGAAGCAAGGGCAAATGAATAACTCTGTCACCAGCAGTGGCAGCGGCAGCAGCAAAGTAACTCCACAGCTCATGCAACCCCGCTGGGTTACGGGGCCGTGGCTTTCTTGTTCTCGAACATGCGACACAGGGTGGCACACCAGGACTGTCCAGTGCAAAGACGGGCATGGAAAATTAGCTAAGGGATGTCTTCTCTCTCAGAGACCGTCAGCATTTAAACAGTGCTTGTTGAAAAAGTGTTAACCTGTGGTTGCGATCTTCTTTAAAAGAGGTTTGATTAAGCCATTGTTGACATACTGGTATTAGGTCTGCCCAGACAGAGAGAAGCAAAGGCTTCAATGTACTTGCATACAGTCTCAAATTATGGGCAGAATCTGCCTATTTGGACCAAATGAAGATGTGCACTGCTTTAAATAATAGTAGGGTGATCGTAATATGTCAAAAAAAACTAAGCATTAAAGTTGTTATAAGCCCTCTGTGTCTGCAAAAATATAAAATAAAATAATGCAAAAGAAGAAAAACTAGTGAATGGAGGATCCTGGGATATTTGAAGGTTACAGAATCATCTCCCCTTTTTCACCTACCTCTAATACAGTATGTCCTTAGAAAACATCACGTGTACCCACGATACCACAGTAGTTTATTTTATACTGTTTTGTAAATATCTTTCATTTGGTACGTCACTTTATATCACTTGGTTCTATTAAAAAATCAAAAGACAAACTGCATAAGCAAAGTGATTGACCAAAGTATATCTGCAGCCCTTGTGGACTCGGTCCGTTCTTCAGAAAGGGCTGCAGATGTTTTACTGGAAAATGACGAGCTTGCTGCTGGTTTTAAAAAGTAATCTCTTTTGGTTTTGACAAAAGGAAACGTTTTCACACTAGGAATTTCCTGACAGCAGATCATTATTCTATGACAAATACTGTGTTTCCACCCAGAAATTCTCAGGAGCATTGCAGCAGCTTGCAGAGCAGGGATCCCCACATGTGCGTTGCTCAATACCAGCACCATTAGCGAGTCCTCACCATGTGTATGTCAGACACGCACAGAAGGAGGATTTGGCTGCTAGAAGGAATTTGTGTACACTTTCCTTGTAAACCTTCCACTACTTCCAGCTGTGTCACAGCTTGGGGTCCTTGTTGTGGATGAACAATAGCTGCTAGCTTCTTCTTTCCATAAAACAAAGGCATACTGTATTTTGTAGAAAGTCGTTAGAGAACCAAAAATTACAGGTAAGATAATCAAGTGTCTTCTAACTCAGATATTCTGAGGCTGTGTTCAACTGCTTTCTCTGTTGTTTTCTCTATGGCTTCCACCTTGAATCTAACAATGTGTAATGTACCTACATCTTTTGAAGAGGCTATAAAGGTCAAAAAAACACAGCAAGCAGTTAATATTTTATCACTGTTTTGTCCATCATGTCTAACTCTGGTATTCATCTTACCAGCAAAAGTTTGTAACTATTTGTCTTTTTTGATTGTTTTGTGTGTTTGTGTGTTTGGGTTTTTTTAAAGCTATAGAAGGCATTCACGTTTTGTATATCTACCACGTTTGGGAGGAAAAGGGGTCACTAGGAAGTCCATCCACATCAGGATGTGGATGACTTGCCCGATATCAATAAGACTGTTTCCACAGTACAGGCAGTAGCTGGTAATAATTTTCATTGGCAGCAACTTCCAAATCCCCTTATTGTCTGGTAGAAGTTCTGTGACCGAGGATGGGCGTTTCACCTTCTGCAGGTAACAGGTGGAGGCCTGACAGCAACCCCATTAAAATTGCTTCCTTTTATATCAGCAGGCTTTGAATTAAGGCCTAGAAAAACAGGTACCAAAAGAAATGGTTATAATATGCTCATGAAAATAGAATCCCATCTGTCTTTTATTCCTTCATTCATCCACACAGGCGAGTACAAGGCTGCAGGAGGATTTTCAGACAAGCCTCACAGCTGTAAGTCAGTGGTACTCGAGCACCAAAATACCCCGGGCTCTTCTGAAAATCCCAGTCATGAAATCAGTTGAGAAAACTTGTTGTTATGTGTAGCAAGAAGGGCAGGTCTTGCTCCAGGCTGACACAAACATGTTTTTGCAACTGTGGCATGTTTGTATGAACTCTAAGAAAGCATGTGATGATTTCAAAACAGCATAGAATTGCTACATCTACAAGTATGAAACCTGGAAAAGGATCTATTTTTGTACCCGGTTCTAAATAAACAGTAATAGGGGCAGGGCCTCCTCCTCTGTCAAAGTAAGTGAATTACCAAAGAATGTTACTAGTCGTCTTCCACTTTCAAGAATGGTGTGGCCACCTCATTAGGAGTAGTCCTGTGCAAAACTGTGGATCTTGAGGAAAATTCCCCACTTAATCTCTGATCCCACCCTAAGAACCAAGATCAAGGCTCTGAATATTTGCAGAGTTCTGGAAAATTAAGATTTATGCCTTCGCTACCTATTAACATAAGATCACTTTGAAGTGTCTTGTTTTCCTTTCAAGTAATCTAATTTTTACACTTATATATGTATTACACATCTTCTAGAACCTCTCAAAAAAGTTCATAACAAATAGAAACCATCATGAGAAGAAAAATAAGGAGACTTAATGTGTCTCAGCGTAGACTTAACATTTGTCTCAGCATACAGCTGCTGTATTAAGTGGCATTTGTTTTTCCTGTGTTTTATCATAACAGAGACAGAATGTGCAAGTATTTGTGTTTGCATCATAGTGATAATTTATTATATGTACAACAGGATGAGTACAGCTTTTGGATGCTGTTCAGACTCCAGAAGAGTAATACCATACGCGGGTAAAAATTTAAAGCTTCCTTAGATCAAGAGTATCTTTTTTCATGAAAAAGTTTATTTATAAAAAAGAAATAAATATGAGAACAAACCACTATAGTGATTTTTTCCCTTTTCACCAGTGTACTAATGAAGTAAATTAGCATGAGCGAAAAGCAGCTGCCTTTGTCTGTTGAGAGGGCAAAGGGGACAGACCAAGGACACAACCCTAAAAGTGTAAGATAAACTAAGTCGGCCTGCTCTAGTTAACACTTGCTTTTTAGCTGTTCTTTGTAAACAGACTCCAATTCCAAACCTTGCTTTTGTCAGTTGTAGCTATTTCATGTAACTGATGGATGAAACATTGGTGCAAGGTATGTGACTTTGTCATTTCAACTTCTGTTCTCAACTAAATGCCTTGTCACTCACACTGTGGTGTCATTGTTTACATTACTACCGAGTGTTGCCAAACAGGATTCATAAAATGCATCTAGGGGATAGAAACCCTGAGTATTGCTCTTCGCATAGACAGAAACAATCCTCAATGTTAAATTCACTACCGACTACTTGGGACACATCTCCAGTGCCCTTAGGTGGAGTTGGACCCCTCAGCATCGGTGGGTTTTAGAGCATCTGCTTCTCAAATAAGACATTCTCACTAGGAAGTGGCCTATCATCTTTGGTCTGACTGTATACAAGAAATTAAATTTAGCTGCCCTCCTGTGGAAACAGTTTTATCACAAGGGGGAGAGGGAATAGTCTTGTGGATTAATCACAATTGTAAAAAAAAAAAAAAGCAACACAGCACTGAAAAAATAAAATAATTTATTGTTTTTACAACTGGTATGTGAACGGATGTAATGAATTTATTTATTCTTATTTAACAGAAATACCAATTGTGCAAATTCTATATTTAATATGTTTTGCTATCGTCTCTGTCTCTCTCTTTCTCGCTCTCTTTTAATTTATGCTTCAAATTTGTGTTGAAAGTACGCCTTGTGAGTTTACATAATGTATGGCACTGGTTATTTTTTGTATGTTTTTATTTAGAAAGCCTTCTGCATGAAACAGGAGTATATGTGTATACATGTGTGCACACTGTATAGATGTATATTCTTTTTCTGCTACCATCTTTTTCTTAGAGAAGTTGTCGACCTTTAATTTTGTGGCACCTCATGCTCAAAGCTCCTTGTTACGCTTCACTTCTAAAATCTCTCGACTAGCAAGTCACAAAGGTCTGTGGACCAAAAAAATAAAAAACCCTGCCAGCTCCTAAAGAACTCGGACAACAGACTTGCTTTGCACAGGCGCGTGCAATGCATGCTGCGTGCCTCAGTGATTTACCACCGAGGCTGGTAGGAGTCTTGCCCTTTGCTTCAATGGGAGCAAGTTCGGGCTTGTAGTGAATGAGAGTCCTCTACATGTGAATGAAGTTTCTCTGGGTTGTCAGGGTGGCAAGTGAGTCTTCTCTCGTGCAGCATCTTATGTTTAAGTGAAAACACTACAGAGAAACTTGTGTGCCTCTTTAAAAATATAGCTGAAACAATGTATGACTTGGTTTACAAAGACAACCATTAAAACTATTTTTTTAGTCTTTCCACCATTTATATACATATATAAGTATGTATATATGGCTATAAAAAAATCAAAAGTCCTATTCAGAAGGCTTTGCAATGTTTTACTTCATTGTGTTCTAGCTCTTTGCACCACATCAGGCAAAGTTAGAGGCAAAAAAGCCAGCAAAGCATGCATTCCCAGTGTTTCCCTGAAAATAACAGTATCTGTGTGCTTCCACTTTTCATCCAGTCCAACTACTGCTGAACTCAAGGGAACTTGTATTGGGTCCAGTGTAAGGGAAGCAATGCAAACAAACCTACAGCTTTTCTACAGTCAGTTTCTTTGACAGCACAAATGACTTCTGTAGCCACTTCACCGTAAGGGCGGTACTACAGACTGCAAATAACCTATTTCAAACTGTTGAAAGTTGCCTTGCTCACCGGTGCCCACATTCACACAGGTTAAATTCCAGCTCAGCCTCTCCGCCCGACGTCTGCTGCCATCCGGGCACTCCCGAGGACCCAGAGCCAGCCACCAGGCTTTAGATTAATTTGTGATGGCCAGTGGGCGATGCTTCCTCGCTTAAGACCCACTCCAAAATGTCAGGGAATGACTATAAGCCTTGACTTTGACAGTCTTTAGGGCAGGCTTTAAATGGGATTTGTAAGGGTGAAACCCCAGTAATTGCAGGTTTTCAGCAATACGTTTAGGTGAATTCCTCCTCGTGCTAATGAATGCTGTGCTGCTCTTTGTCACTGAGGAAGATGGTGCCTGTGGCAAGAGCCAAAATTAGATTCTCTGAGCATGGGTTGCAATTTTCAGAAAAAAAGTTGCCCATTTGGAGAGGTTTGTTCCTTTTTTTTTTTTTAATGAAGTAATTTATAGAGTTGCCAGAGTGCATCATTGCAT